AGATACAAAATTTTGGGACTTAAATGAAAATTTTTCAAAAGCTCAGAGTCTAAATTGTAATAATAAAAGTTAGGGACCAAAATTTAATGAATTTGAAATTTGAAAATCAAAGTGAACAGGGACTAAAATGTGAGGAACTAATAGTGTAATTTTACCGTTAAAATTTAGAGGATATATTATTACTGATGTTGTGATGTTGTGATGTTACGACGTTCGCCGACGAGGGATGATGCTTAGCTCTTTCTCAGTTTGAGGGATTTTTTTGAATTTTTTGAAAGTAAAAAGATGAAAAGATTCCTTTTTGAGAAGATCAGAGATTTTTAAGGGCATTATTAAACCCTATGTAAATGAAGCAAGTGATGCGAAAAGGCAATTAAGTGCGGTGTTTCAAGCAACACTTGATTATAAGTACTTTTTTGTCTCCAAAATTTAGTAATATTTTTGAAGAGAAAACGTTTTTAAATTTAAAATGCTTATAAATAAGTTTTAAGGGAATTAATAGCCCTTCAATAGATTTATAATTTTTAAATACAAAAAATATTTCAAAAAGTCATTAACTTTTAAATGCAAAAAAAAAATCTTCAAAAAGTCATTAACTTTTAAACTGTGCCAAACATGGGCTAAATATACATGCTCAAAAGAGGTAGGGATTTGATTATGAGTCCGATGGTGAGCTAAATATTGTAAAGATAACACTTCCATTTCTTAAATTTCAAATATTTAAATGTTCAAGCATGCTACCCAATAAAATCAGAAATAATTAGTAGTTTTATGGTATGTAATAATAAAGTTAATTGAGCTCTCAATCACACGTTTAAAATTTGTTCCATTTATTATACTTTTTAAAAAATAAATATTTTAATTTAATTATCGACATTAATTTTAAATAAAGTATTAAAAGCTCTCTTTCCTCCTTTATCTCTGTTGTAATTTTACCATAATTCTTTTAACAAAAACTCTAGTTTGGTACAATGGCAATGAGATCTTAATGTTAATTGCCTATAACCTCCTTATTAATTAATTGTCACTAAAGACAAATGTAAAATTTTAATCTATACAATTGTGTTTTTATGAGATGGAGAAAATCATTAATCTCTAGTATTTATATAAATAAAATTGTATTATTTGTATAACTAAAATATTTAAATGAAAGCTAGAGTCGCTAATATTAAAAATCTTTTTTAATTAAACATTTATAGTTTTTAATTAAGGACATATTTGGTTCAACTTTTAAGTGTTTGAGTTTTTTTAATACTATTTATATTTTATAAATTAAAATTTTTCTCTTAAAAATTTTAATTTTTTTAACTTTTTAACCTTAAAAAACTTTAAACAATAAATTTTGAAAAGTTTCAAATTTTTACTTTTTGATAATTTCATTTTTACTCACTTTTTATTCTTTCTAAAAATAATTAAAAAAATTTCTTTCGATAAAAATTTAAATTTATAAAATATAAATAACGTCAAAAAATTAAAATAATTATAAATTTCACCAAATATATTCTAAATATATTTTAAACTTGCAAAACATAATTTTTAAGAAAATGAAAACAAAAATGAACAGTAATATTGTATACCATTTAAAAACAAATTGCTAAAAAACGCCAACGCCGACTAATCCAATCTAATCAAACTTTTTATCTTTGTTTAATCCAATGTCTTAGAAGATAAGCATCACAATTAAACTACAACTGAAAGAGACCCTCCAAAACCAAATCCGTTGGCTGCCAGGTCCTCCAGCGCGCCCACAGTCATACCCTCCAAACCCGGAAACCGGCTCCTGGTTTTGCATAACTGGTTTTTTAAGTAACCTATACTTCCCGAAAACCAGGAGCCCTTTTTTTTATTTTTTAAACTAAAATCAGAAACCCTATCAGGAGAGGGACCTTACATCCACGCCCCCCCTAATATGTGGCGATTCGACCGCACTCTGACACCTAAACGTGCCTGCCACGCGCTGCTCTCTCCACTTCTCAATTTTTGGACCCATTTGCATGCCACTCTTAACCTTTTCCCTCCACTTGTCTTTCCTGTCCTCACACTTGCCTCATTTTTTATTTTATCAGAGAAATAATTTTAAAATAATTTTTTTATATAATTTGTTAATATAATTATATATATTTATTTATTTAATGATATGTAAAAATTATTTTAAAATATGATATAAAAGATTATTTTATTGCACCACCCATTTTACCCTAACCACTTTCCTCTAAGTATTGTCCAAAAACTTGTATTTTTCAGATCCAGCCAAGGGTAATTTGGTACTGAGGAAAAAGCCAAAGAGCCACTTGCATCGGTTTCCCAAACGGGAGTTACGATTTGTACAGTTCCACAGTGGACTTGACAGTGCTCCAAAGTACGCTTCCAATCAGGACTCAGAATAGGATTCTGAGATTGGGAGTGAAATCCACGCGCGGATGACGTGAGGTGGTGGAAGAATTTAAAATTTTTTTAAATCACTATTTCTTCTCTAAGTTCACTTCCTTGAATGTGGAAACCAGTATTTTGGATTTTAAAACAGCTGCGTTAACCCAGCGGCCACCCTAAAAAAAAAAAAAAAAAAAAAAAACATTTTCTTCTCTCTTTCCTTCAGTTCCCAGTTTCCCTTAAATACCCACCCGCTTCCGCCTTTCTCCTTCCTCCTTTCATAACGCAAAATTCCCTTTTCCCTTCCCTTCTCTCGTTTGGCTTTCTTCTTTTCCAATTCCTGGCAAAATGCGGATGAGCTGTAATGGCTGTCGGGTCCTCCGTAAAGGATGTAGCGAGAATTGTAGTATCAGACCTTGCTTGCAGTGGATCAAAAGCCCGGAGTCCCAAGCGAACGCCACCGTTTTTCTCGCCAAGTTCTATGGCCGGGCTGGACTCATGAACCTCATCAACGCCGGCCCTGAACACCTCCGCCCTGGTTAGTTTTACATACTTCTTGTGTGATCCTGTAGATTTTTTTTCTCCGCCGTGTTCGACAAGGAAGTGACGGGTTTTTTTTTTTGTTTTTTGGCAGCGATCTTTCGGTCATTGTTGTACGAGGCTTGTGGGCGGATAGTGAACCCGATTTATGGATCAGTCGGGTTGTTGTGGTCCGGGAACTGGCAACTCTGTCAAGCTGCCGTTGAAGCAGTGCTGAAAGGTGCGCCGATCACACCGATTGCGTCTGAAGCGGCGGCTAACGGCCAAGGTCCGCCGCTTAAGGCATACGACATTCGTCACGTCTCAAAAGATGAGAACTCCGCCGCCTCAAACGATCATAACCAGGTCAAGACTCGGTGCCGGGTCAAGCGGGCCGTCAAGCAGAAGGCTCACAAGCCCGTCGATGACTCGGTCGAATTAAATCGCTCAACGAGTCACGAGTCGTCGCTGAGTCACCAGTCCGATGTAGCCGCCGTGGACGGAGATAGCAAAGAGACGGACAGCATGATCTCTGTGGAAACCGGCGAGGCATCGCTCCTGTTCCCAGCCGAGCCGGAGTTTGGGACAAAGCCAAAAGAAAGAGCACGCGATGAGGCTGAGGTTGAGGTTGGATTGGAGCTGACGCTGGGGCTTGAGCCGGTGGCCTTACGGGCGGATCACGTGGTGGTGCCTGTGAAGAAAAGGAGGGTGGAGGGTTACGGCACGCGCGAGGACGGCAGGTGTAAGGTGGAGCTGGGGCTAGATTACCCGGCTTGAGTTGTGAAGCCCGAGCAAACTTTGGGTCCAGTTTTGGCGGCTCATTCGGCTCTGTTAATTTCATAGAAGAGTAGTTTTTGACTCTTCCTCCTTTTTTTTTTTTTTTTTTGGGTTTTGTGTTTTTCCCTTTATGAACAGCAAGGTGTACAAATGTTGTTTTACATCAATAGACTAGGTAAATTTATAGAGGGAATCATCACAATGGAACGTACCGTAATTATATTTTTGACATATTATTTGGGTTTTTTTTTTGAATAAAAATAATAAGTTAATTTTATTAATTGTTAGTAATTGAAAATTCGATTTTTAGATCTAGTGAACATCTCAGCTTACTTTTGTCGATGAAGCGACGACCCATCGGATCATTTGGTGGAGTTTTTATTTGGGTTTTATTTTATTTTAAAGGTTATAAGGAATGTCAGGATGGGGATTGATATTGTTACATGATGTTATAACAATGAATTGCTGCTGGCTGCCGCATTGTGTTTCTTTTCCTTTTTTTCTTTTTTTTGTAGAACATGAAAGAATTTTGGGAGATAAGAAAGTTTGTTTAAGTAATCGGTGAAAATTGAATTTTTGATTAATTAAATTTAAATATTTAAACTTAAAAATAAATCATTAAATTTGAATGTTTCGAATTCCTATATTATGTTTCTTTTAAATTGAATTTACACAAGATTCCAATATAT